TGACATATCAAGCACATAGAAATCCACAGGAAATAATAGACCTTTAACACAAACCAACAAGTCTTCTACTACTCCATGTGGTCTTCTAACACTTCTATCCGCTAATTGGCATATCATAGGTGTCTTATGCATGCAATCAAGACTCAAGGCATGATAAATGAAAGAGGCATAACATTAATGGCTGCACCTAAGTCTATCAATGCATGAGAAAAATGTGTGTTGCCAATCTTGCATGGAATTGTGAAGGAACCGGGGTCCTCACATTTTATAGGGAGTTGAGGCTTCATGATAGCACTCACAGATGAGGGTAATTGTACCCTTGCATTAGGCCTAAATTTTCTTTTATTTGTACAACAATCTTTCAAAAATTTGGCATACTTAGGAAAGTTCTTAACTACATCCATCAAGGGTACATTAACATGAATCTTGTGGAAGAAATCATATACCTCTTGATCCCGTCACTTGCTTAGGGACCACTTGTGCTTGTGGAAAAGGAAGCTTCTTCATAATCTCTTGACTTTGCTTTTCCTTCTTCCTTCCTTGAACTCTCCTTTCTTGTTTCACTTTGCTCGGCCTCTCCCTCTTTTTCCTTACTAAACAACTCGGCCATAGTCCCCTTTTCCACCTTAGATGGTGGTTGCTCACATATGATCTCCTCAATGTTTTCATCCTCATCATCTCTACAAAAAGATGCATCATTAGGAGCAAAAGAAGAACTAGAAACATTAACATCAATTGAAGAATTTAAAGAGGGCTTATTCGGCCTTCCTTGTCTTTTGTCTTCTTGCACTCTTTCTCCCAACTCCTTGCCACTCCTCAATGTGATAGCATTAGATTAGCTTTAGGATTAGCAACGGTGTTGGATGGTAATGTAAGGCTTGAGCATTGGCTGCACTTAATTGGTTAGCAAGCATATTCATTGAGAAGTAAGGGCATCAATTTTAGAGTTCATGTTCTCACACTTGTTACCCATACTCTCTACCTTTGTTCCCTAAGCCATCATACATGTTGTTATACAAGGAGTTCATTTCAATCAACTGCTTAGTAACACATTCACATCATTAGAAGAACTCTCAATTGAAACAAGCCTCCTATCACTATAAGAATTAGATGAAGGTGCAAGAGAATTACCACTTGGATTGTAGCTTTGAGAAGAGCTACCTTGAGACAAATGAGGTGGAGGGTCACGGCCAAAGGTGTTTTGATAGGATCCTCTTTGTTGATTGTCTTGTAAAGCCACATTTGGATTTGAATAGGAGAAATTAGGATGGTCTCTCCATGAAGGGTTGTAAGTATTAGAATAAGCTCCTTGCCCTTGCTCCCACCATAGGATTGTTTTCCATTGTAGATAGCATTTACTTGTTCAAACTTAATAGGACAATTGCTTTCTACATGCATAGGTGAGTCACAAAAAGTACAAGAATAAGGGACAAGTGCTTGAGAAGTACTTACATTGCTCACTTGAGATATTGTGGAGCCAACACATTCTCCCAATCTTGGCAGCTAGCAAGTCCACATATGAATCATTAAGAACTGAGGAACCTACCATATTCACATTTCTCTTTTCCCTTGTAGAGTATTGAGCACCACTTGAAGCCATCTTGTCAATTAGTTCCCAAGCCTTTAAGGAAGTGAGGTCAATCAAGCATCCACCACTAGCGGCATCAATGTTAACTTTGTCTCTTGGAATCAAGCCCTCATAGAATATTGGACTAAATTCTCACTAGAAATTTGATGGTGTGGGCATTTAGCCAAAAGGCCTTGGAATCTAGTCCAATACTCATAGAGACTCTCATCTCTCCTGTTGGACCCCATAGATTTGCTTTCTCAAATTGGTGACCTTGGAATTTGGAAAGAATTTATCTAAGAAGAGTCTTCTTAGCTCGGCCCATGTGCTCACTTTCACATAAGAAGGGTAGTTGAAATACCATTCCTTTGCTAAACCTTCAAGAGAAAATACAAAAGCCTTAGCTTGAACATCATCAACATTTACATGCATAGGCTTCATAGTATCACAAACCAATAGGAAGTATGCAAAAACCTATGACAATCCTCTCCTGGTAACCCATGAAATTTAGGCAATGCATTAATCAAGGAGGATTAATTTCAAATTGAACATTAGTAGGAGGAACATATAAGCCATAAGGATTATCATGCCAATTAGGTTGAGTTAATTGCCTAATGCTCCTCTCCTCTTTAGGGTTATGCAAGCCTTCAAATTCATTATTAACATGGCCATCATCATGCAAATTCTCATTCCCATTCCCATGGCCCTCATTATGCACATGCTCATGTCCTAAGATACTTCCATTGTTGAATTACAAACCAAATGAGAATCAAGAATAGGTTGTGATCTTCTCAATCTAGAATAGTTCTTTCAATTTCTGGATCTATTCAACAAAAAGGTATGTTTTCTTCGGGCCATGCACTAATCAAGCTCAAGAAAATTAAGAACAAGAACAAGCTAAACTAAAATGCAAATCAACACGAAACAATTCAAAACACAACAAAGCAAGAGAAAATTTTTTTATTTTTTTTTCTTTTTTTTTAATATACTCAATAGCAACAAAATGAAAAAAAAAATACCACCAAACAAGTAGAAAGAGAGTTAGAAATGCTCAATCAAGAAGCTTTGGCAATTCTAGAATTCGCACAGTAGGCTCTCTGGAATAGTGAACTTGTGAATTTCTATCAGCAATCCACATGATAAATTCCCCTAAAACTTTTATGAGAAACACAAGAGATATACAGGAAAATTATTAAAACTTTTAGATTAAA